TTATTAAAAATGATGAAAAATACACTTATTCTCATTTATAAATATTATTATTAATTATTATTAAAAAAATTATATTTGTTTCTAATAAATTATTATTACATCCAAAGTTAATTCATTATACTTTCTGAAAACTTAATTTTTTCTTATCACATTCGAAGTCTATCTTCAAATACTTAATTTTAACGAACTATGACAAATGACGCAAATCTATTCAAATAACAAATATACAATTCTACATACAAATAATTCTTGTAAAAACAGATCGAATATAAGAGAATGAAAACACGAGATCCAACGATATTCCGAACAAGTATTAAATAATTTTTTTAATTATTATTTATTAAATAAATCGAGTCACCGAAATATTATTATGTACGTACCGGAAATCGGCACATGGTGTGATTGGAGCAAATACGACAGTAAGGATTGTTCTCGAGGTTTATCGGGAACGATGATATTGTCCCCGTTAGTGAGCAATCACAGTAGCCCGTTAAGAACAATAAGAAGCAGAACCAGATATGACCTGTCATTCCGGCAGTTTTCGTCGTATGTTTCAACAGCCAAAAATTCACCACGACATTTTATCTTTTGCGTTTCACTACTGTCCGGGTAATCTCGCCGCTATCTTCACCCCGGAGCGATGTTTTCCGAATCGATTTTCCAATGAAACAGTGACAAGCCAGCCCCGCGACGGAGGATAATATTTTTCCTTCGGAAATGATGTTCGTTAATAATGTTCGACCACACGTTCCGGTAAGTCTGTCAATTATGACTGTATACAGGCACGCCTATGCAGGCCTACCAGTGCATGTATATGATAAAACTGTGCAGTTATTTTGGCCTATACAGACAACCGAAGCAAATATGAAAAATCATTCGATATTCAAGATGGCGTAATCGTTTATTATGTCTAATTGAGGTTATGTTTGTATGTGTTGTATATAGGTGTAGTAGTATTAGGAAATATTCGATTATGATTTATTATCAATAGTTTAGAATAGGAAAAACAGGTTAGTTCATATAGTGTGGTTATCTCGATTATTTTCGATTAGTATTCGATCGATCATAATACTTTGTTTTATCATAAATAAACGTTCTTGTGTGTAACCTCAAATCCTTTTTTTATAATATCTATAATTCTTTTGCCTATTGATTAATAATTGAGACGATTTATTAATATTGTGTTTATTGACCAAATAATGAATAAACGTTTTCACTTAAATATTTTAAACGAGCATTTGCTTTTTGTAATTTCTGCGTCACGAAGTAGAAATACCAGTTAGTAAAATATGTTCATTGTGTTAAACGTGTATTTCATGTGAAATGTGCAGGAATATATTTGAACAGTCGCACTGTCCAAAATCAACTATTATAGTAAAAATACACAAAAAGGCCGGTTCTCTGATAAATTAATAAAATATTAATGTAATAATTTATAATCGCAATTAATTTCTTTCTAACAATTGTTCTATTTAAGCATGAAATTGTTTAATACATTCTTTTAGATGTTATTAAAGTTGACAAGTTTATTACATAAAATTTAAAAATTTATAAATAACTAATCATTTTTTTTAGAAAGTTTTATGTCGATTATATATTACGATTAAAAAAAGTGATTATAATTTATTTTCTTAACTTTTTTAATTTTTTAGAATTTTAAATAAAACAATCGATATAAAATAAAATTATATTTCAATCACTTCTAATTGTTACTTTTATTTTTCATTTACTTTAATGAATCTCTCTAAAGAAAATAATATTACTTAATTACGTCTATAAAATTCAGGAACAATATTCGTGTATTTACAAGCATTTACGTGGTCAATTATGCCCTGTCGGATTTTTATTTCGACTATACACTGGAAGTTCCGGTGCATAGCGCTGCCATATAGCTCCCCAGGCGAAACCGCTATAACGCGTAAACGGCGTCGACGCAACTCACCGGTAAGTTGGACGATTCTCGGATGTTCAGCACGTGTTTTCATTTCGTTATCCCACCGTCTTCTTCCCATATCATTACTGTTTCAATACGCGCGGGAGGCAGAAACTTTTTCGAGTCGGCGAACCTTTTCCTTATATTGTTTTTTTTTCTTCGTTCATGCTTTCGTTAGAATACCACAAAAGAAAGCTAAGGAAAGGTTTATAGGTAACTGAAATTCTATATTTTGTTCGATACTTTTTTCGTTATGAAAAGAGAAAAAAGAAAAAAGAGAATAAAAAAAATATGACGTGAGTTAAGTTTCTCAGATTTTAGATTAGGTTATGTTGTCTCTTATGCTATAAACTTGGATCTATTGAAGTTTAAATAATTAATTGAGAATGAAAATTTTATAACCAATCGATCTTGAAAAAGGTAAATCAAGATTATAATAAAATATTCCAAAAAAAATAAATAAATTTCTAGAAACAGTTCATGTCAGATTAAAAATTTTTATGTCTAGTTCTATTTATACGTAGAATTATATATAAAATTTATTTTGAACTGAAAATAATGTGAATGATTATTAATAAAAAATAAAGAAATATCTTGGAAATAAATAATTTATTTCTTATTTAATCTCTTATCTTGCTTATACGTAAATTATTTCCATAGAAGAAATAGGTAAAACAATTCTCAATTTTTTTTTTTCTCTACATGTATATCAAATCTATGATAATTCTATACGTCACGTTGGTACACATAACTGCGTTGGTCTCCAGACAGTAAAAATAGGGCAGTAACATAGTTTATTAATGAAATTGCACCGATAAGAGGACTAATTGCTGTTGCATGCTATTGAGATCAAGCACCTATGAGGCTTTTGCGTATCGTTTGTACCTGAGTTCTTAATTCACGGACTTTTTTCAGAATGATAAATGTTTCAAGTTAATGCATCTAGCGCATGTTTAGGTAATTGCGTTAAGTTCAATTCAACACAATCGTATATTGTGTTTATGATACGACCTTCAAATAATGATAACAATCAAAATAATATTTAAAATATTGAAAAACTAAAAATAATATTTAAAATATTGGAAAAACCACTATTGTGAATATCCTCGACATTTAAGTGTCAAATTATTTAAGGTTTTAAGTGAAGCGCTATCATGGATATTTTGAGATCGATCGAAAACAAATTAACCCCTTGACGTTGAACTCTATATCTCGCACGCATCAATGCTTTTATGTACATAAGAATTTACCTAGATATACAAGAACCTAAAAATTTCTTTCAGAATCATATTAGGATGCTTAAGGGAAGTATTATAAATTATACATATAATATTGAAATTCTAAAAAGAAATATTTGCAATTATACAGTTTCATGTATTTTTTCTTTTCTTTTTTCTGTACTTTTTTTATCGTACAAAGGTTGCACTATGTCTAGATCATTAAACGGTAAAGTCGATGGAACTTTGCGCGCGGTTTTCAAAGAGCGTAACTTCGAAAAGAAAAAGTTCATAACTTTGCACAATACATTTTTCATTCTTGTAAATAGTAAATCATAGTGAGAAACTTTTCATAAGTATTTTAATAACACTTTGCTTGAAATAAATATAGGAATGAGCTATGAAAGAATAGTATTATGAAATAAAGTTTTGAGAATTGAAGATGAAAGAGAATAAAAATAATATTGACAAATTAAAATTATATCAATAATAATAAAAAGAAAATATGGATTGAAATTTTACTAAAATTGGTTAGAATATACAAAAAGATTTCATTTAATAATAACATTATTATTTTTATTCATGTCATTATTATTATTTGTAAAGAAAAATATTTCAAATAAAAGTTAAATCATTTCAAATGAATTTTCTAATATAATTAATTCTTTTTTGCATAAGAAAATAAAATTTAATTTTATTTTTTTAAATAGATTATTTAAAAAAAAAGTAAAAAGGAAAAAAACTAATTTAACCCATAATAAAATTAGACTTAATTATTTTTTTTTTAAAAAGAGTTTTTAAGAAAAAATATTGGAAAAGATTATATAAATAAATAAATAGTATAAGCATATAACATAAGAAAAAATAATATAAAAAATATAAATTGTATAATATAAAGAAATAATTTTTTTATAAAAAGTAACTCTTTTTAAAAAAAGATTAAAATATAAAAAAAAAAATATTAATATTTACTATATTTAATAGTAACAAAAATAAATATCAAAACAAAAATATATATTTTTCTTTGAAATTTTTTTAAGAAAAAAATAAGAAAAATACATATTCAAATAACAAGATCAAATAACTTATAACAAAAAAGTATAGAAAATAATACAGTAATAATACAAAATTCAATAACTTGGATATTAAAAGTATCAATTATAAATTCATCAATTAATAAGTAATATTCCAAACGTGTATCATTTGCAAGTTTTATATTCATATTATATTTCAAGTTTTTATTATAAAAAATCTTCCAAATAAAGTATCTTATAATCTGTCATATATATATATATATATATATATATATATATATATATATATATATATATATATATATAT